GATAAAAAAAGGTCCTTATAGACCAGTTAGCTTAATGTCTCATCTGAGAAGATGTTGGCGTCTATTATAAAAGATGTAATAACAGTGTGTTTAGAAATACGTATGATCAAGTAGAGTCAGCATGACATCATGAAAGGGAAATCATGCCTGTCAAATTTACTGGAATTCTTTGAGGAAGTAACAAGCAGGATAGATAAAGGGAAAGAGTAGATGTAATATATTTGGATTATCAGGAGATGTTTGATAAGGTACCACATATTAGGCTGTTTCACAAGTATTGGAGGTAGTTTATTGACATGGATAGAGAATTGGCTAACTAATAGAAGACAGAAAGTTGTGATGAAGAGGACCTTTTCAGGAATGACAATTAGTGGAGTGCCATGGGATCCGTTTTGGGGCCACACTTTTTTAACAATATATAGCAATGACTTGGATGAGAAAAGTGAATGCATTATCATCAGGTTTGCAGATGACACAATATAGATGGAAAAGCAACTAGTGAGGATTGCACAAAGAGTCAACAGAGAGGTATAGATTAGAGAGTGACCAAAAACACTTGGCAGATGGAATATAACATTTGAGGCTGAAATGGCTATATTTTCAGTCAGTAAGGAAATCAAGGGGAGTACTGAACAGTCAATTTATCAATCACATAGTGGGTGGGCATTTTATGTCAAAGTCAGGCCTGCAGTATGTTCCAGCAGTTTACTGACAAAATTGCCAATTGTGAAAGTTAAAGGATAGCAGTCCTTAGTGAAGTAAAGGGGGACTCCAATCAGTCAAACACACAGCTGTGTGGCACAAATTCCACCCGACTCCATTTACAAGTTTGCTGACAACCCCACTATAGCAGGACGGATCTTAAACAACGACGAGACAGAATACAGGAAAGAGATTGAGAGCTTAGTGGCATGGTGTAAAGACGACAGTCTCTCCATCAACATCAGCAAAATGAAGGAGCTGGTCATTGACTTCAGGAAGCGGAGTGGAGAGCACACCCCTATCTGCATCGATGGTGCTGGAGGTGGAGATGGTCAAGAGCATCAAGTTCCTGGGAGTGATGATCACCAACAATCTGTCCTGGACCACCCATGTCGCACAACAATCAAGAAAGCACAACAACGCCTTTACCTCCTCAAGTGACTAAGGAAATTTGGCATGTCCACAAGAACTCTTACCAATTTTTATAGATGCACTATGGAAAGTATCATATCTGGATGCATCACAGCATGGTTTGCCAACTGCTCTTTCCAAGACCGCAAGAAACTACCGAGGGTCATGAACATAGGCCAGTCCTTCACGCAAACCAGCCTTCCATCCAATGACTCTATCTATACTTCCCGCTGCCTGTTAAAGTTAAGGCCGAGGAACTTCTATGCCTTGGCAAAGCCATCCAAGATGCATTGCATATCTTCCACAGAGCGTTCTGCGATGCTGATGTCATCAGCATAATGAAGCTCCAAAACGGAGGCGGTGGAGACTTTGCTTTTGGCCTTGAACCTACTAAGGTTGAACAGTCTGCCGTCCAAAAGGCAAAAGATTTGAATTCCCTTGGGCAGGTTTTGCCCAGTGAGATGGAGGATGGCGGCAATGAAGATGGTGAACAGGGTTGGTGCGATGATGCAGCCCTGCTAAAATCCTGTCTCCATGGTGTAAGACTCAGACTGAGTCTGAGCTAACAGAGCACACACTGAAGAGTAAACACATCACACGCTAGACAGCTAATACTGCATACCCTGAAGAACTAAGAGAGGACACACTAGAGACTGCTTAGCTCCTCCCAGGAAATGTCCTTTGTAGTCTGATGAACAGACCTTACTCGTTATGTCAATTAACCTTTCCAGGTCCTAACTGTCCTTTACATCATTGTCCAGCAAACTCTTTCCAGCAGGTTGTATCTCATCCCCATAGCCATCAAAGAAATGACAGAAGTATAAAGGTTGGAAAGAGGGTGATAGAAAGAATTGACGATGCAAAGTAAGACAACAAGAAATAAAAGATTTAGAAACACTCAAAGTGGCAGTTAAGAGAGGGAGGCGGGAGACAAATTCTTTTTATCTATAACCAACATCACAAGAAAAATAACAAAAATATAAAACCACTAAAAAAAATGCAACTAAATAATGCACAGGAGAAAGCACAATTTAGCTGAAGACTGTTGTCAGGATCAGTCAGGCTGTCTGCTCTCAGTTATAACTTTCTGTACAACTAGACCCTATTTATCCTTGCCCTACTGTAACTCCTCATGGGAGTTTGTAAACTATTTGTGGAGATATTTCAGGAGGTATTTGCTTTAATGCTTTATAATTTCATACAGATCAGCCCTGGTTTAGTGTAAATTATTTCATATATATGCACAAATAAGTAAAGGAAATGATCTGAACGGAATGTTTATTTGAATGTTTGCACTGGATGTCAACAAAGTTAAAGGTAAGCTCCCTAAGCGATATAGATACCACAATGAGTTACAAGGTGAATGGTTCTTTCACTCCCCCTGCTGGAATTTTCAGTAGCTACAACATTCACCTTCCTCTTGGGAGATCCAATTTTCAATTGTAGTGGTAACGTTTTGTCTTCTGTGATTGGGAGATAATCTGGTGGATTAACCTGTGCATTGGACAACCCACCTGATTTCACAAAATCAATCAAATGAAAAATAGGTGGATTCTACGAAGGACAGGGAATCTGACTGAGAATGGGGTAAATGTCTCTTGACCTACATTGTCTCCCAAAGTGTCAATGCCTCATTTTTAAAATTCTCATCCTTTTTTTCAAATCCTGCCAATAATGTCTCTCCGTCTCTCCCTCCAGATGATTGATAGTTACCGACAGGCTTTGTTTAAATTTTAAACCAGGCAGATTGACTCTGATTGGTCAGGTCATTGCCCTGACAAATGAACTAGCAAATGGCTGTCCATTATCACTAATCTCCACAGCAACACAACTACCAAGCAGAGTGCATTTGCCAACCAATTAGCACTTTCAACATATTGGTTTTCCCCTTGAATTGGTCATCTTTTCCTGATGAGTGCAAGACCTAAAGCTTTGACAAAATGAGTCTATTTTCAGCCATACTCAAGATCTGTACAACCAAGTGACATCTTGAAGGAGTGTCAAGTAAGTTAGAATTCTATAAAGTTCCAGCACAACCCCATCTGGAGCTGTACATTCAGTTCAAACATTGCAAAGGAGAAAAGATGCATCAACCTTGGAGAGGGTTTCCCAGAATGATAATGGGATTCTCGGAGCTAAAATATGAGGAGAATAGATTATGTAGACTTGGTCTGAATTCCCTTAGACACAGATTAAGCAATGATCTAGTTACAGTGTTTCAGATGTTTAAAGGACTTGGTGGAGTTGTTCAAGAGGAATCATTTTTACTGATGGAGAGTCTAGAACATAAAATCCCCATATGGCCATAAGATATAGGAGCAGAATCAGGCCATTTAGGCCATCAAGTCTGCTCTGCTATTCAATCATGACTGATATGTTTCTCAACCTCTATTCTCCTGCCTTCTCCCCACAACCCTTGATCCCCCTTACCAATCACAAACCTATCTCTGTTTCAAATACGCTCAATGACATGACCTCCACAGCCCTTTCTGGCTGAAAAAAATTCACCTTCCTCTCAGTTCTAGAGGGTCGTCTCTTCACTCAGAGGCTGTGCTCTCAAGTCTGAGTCTTTCCTACTAGTGGAAGCATCTTCTCCATGTCCACTCTATCCAGGCCTCTGAGTATCCTGTAAGTTTCAATCAGATTCCCTCTCCTCTTTTCAAACTCCATTGAATACAGACCCAGAGTCCTCAATCACTCCTCATATGACAAGCCCTTCATCCCTGGGATCAGTCTCGCGAACCTCCTCTGGATTCTCTCCAAGGCCAGCACATCCTTCCTTAGATACAGGGCCTAAAACTGTTTACTATATTCTAAATGGAGTCTGAAAGAACAAGGTGGGGGCATTACCTTAAGGTTAAAACTAGGCTTTTGTTGGGTACAGGCTACCGAAAAACAATTTTATTTTCCTGAGCTCACACAGTCAGGAGGGGACATTGGCTGGCACTGTCTCCTGGGTGCTGTTACATTTTGGCAGGTAGTTGGGACTAGACACTGTTCAGTGAGTATCCAGCTGATGGGGACACTTTCAGGCCTGACCTGGGGCAGGGTGAGTCAGGCATAAGATTTGGGCTAAGTCAACAACAACAGAATCCCAGGTTCAAGTCTGACTGCTCCCAACTACCCCTGCCCTGCCCTATGCCCCACCTTGTGGAAATGTGGTCCTTTCCATTCTCCCTTGCTATTGGTCACACTGCAACAGAGTTAAGATACAAATCAGTCTCAATCTAATTGAATGGTCTCATCCATTTCAATGTAGATTTGGGAATCTTCACACCCAACCAAAAATCCAAACAGGAGCTAGATTTAATATTTCACGAGAAAAGACAGGTCCTCTGGCAATAAAGCTTTCCCTCAGTATGACACCCAATTCTTAGCCTGGATTACATGTTTATGCTTCTGGAGTGGGACTTGAATCCACAACCCAGTCCCTCAGGCAAGAGGGCTACTACTGATCCAGAGCTGATGAAACACTGGCTAAACATAGAAATTAGGAGCAGCTGTAGGCCATTCAGCCCTTTGAGCTTTCTCCTTGGAGCTGATTATCCAACTGAGTACCCTGTTCCTGTGTTCTCCCATTGATCCCTTTAGGCCCCAGAGCCAAGAACTAGCCGATACAGCTATTTGAGCAAAGGTTAATGATGGAGGTGGGCTATTGACTGCAATGTGGATTTACAGTTGCAATGGAGGTGACGCTGTCCAGATATTGGTTTTTAACCGAGCACCCTCACTGACACCTAATGGCAGTGAATCTATACTGCAATGACATTTAAACGAACCTATGGGGTCCGGGGTTTTGTCAGGTCCTCATCTTTCATTGTGCTTTCACAGGAAAGGGGTGTCAGGAATCGCAGAAATAAGCAGAAACCACCACAGACACCACAAACCTGCACAGGATTGCTGGGTAATCAGTCAAGGTTCTGCACCAGTCCAGGGTTGGGTTTTTGTAATTTCTGTTTTGGCTCAGCTCAATGGAGCATCCTCAGCCAGTCCATGAACTGAAGACACTGCTGGAATGACAGAAATGAGAAATAAATTGGTGCACACCAAGCTCCCACAAACAGCAACACAACACTAACCAGACCATTTTTCTTTCAGTGGTGTTGGTTCAGAAGTAAATATTGGACAGGACACCTTCTCTTCTCTGAAACATTGCCACACAACCTTTTACATCCACTTGTTTGAGAGAAGTATGTCATTCGCTGTAAAGGGCTTTCAGAAGTTCTGTGATCCTGCAAAACCTTCTTTGCAAATCTGCCTTTTCTTTTGTTTACAATGTCTATCGAATATTTCAGTCTAATCAGTAGAACTAGTTTGCAGAAGTGTTGGAACAATCTCCTTAGTATTCTGGCTAACACTTCCTCTATAAATCAATACCACTAGAAGATACAACAGCTCTGGTAGCAGCTTTCCCTCAGTACTGCACTGGATCATCAGCTTTGAGTTTGGAGTCAGATTTCTGCAGTACTAACACTGCTACCCACTGAGCCTGTTAACCCATCAATACCTCGTGGGCATGGGCACCAAGGCTGAACACAAAGCTTGCACAGTGGAAGGATCATTAGTAGAGTGACCTTGAAGTCTAATGCATAGCAAGATTTCCAGCTCAACTTCAATGTGAAAAAGAATTGAGGATTCATCCACTGTGAGGGTACGATGAGGGAATGTTCAGATACATGGACTACACTCATAGTGGGTATGAATGGGTCTAGTGCCATTTGGCACTCTGCCATGTCCAGCCCACTCCCCAAACAACAGGAGGGACAGGAGGCTGTCAGCCGTTGTAGCGGCAGCAGATCACTCAGAATCATTTACAGAAGGATTCCAGATCTCGGATCAAACCAAAAGGGACAGACTGGATGTGACATTGCCCTGGAAAATTACCTTGTGTATCTGATAATTCCTTCAACAAATACAAGAACACAGCTGGCAATAAACTGGCTGGTTCTATTGATATTTATTACGTTGTTATGTGAAATCCCCTTCCAAATATTTGAGATTAATTCATGTCTTCGTTGATAACACTCTCACCTCTTAACCTTAGGGTAGCAGGTTTGAGCCCCGAATACAGGGGCTTGAGGACATAATCCAGATTCATGTCCATTGTGAAAGCGCTGCACCATCCGAGGCGCTGGGTTTAAGGGGAGGTATTAAATTCTGCCTATGCTCTCAAGTTTTCTTATACTATCCCGCAATGCTATTGAATGGTAGGAGAATTTTCCCTGGTGTCCTCACTGTAATTTATCCCTCATCCAACAAATTAACTGGTCATTATTAAATTGTTGGTTTGAGATGTCACTGCTTGTCTTCCTTTTCTTTCTTCTATTTACAATATAGCTCACGCATTTCAGTATAAAACACTACCTTGCTCTTTCATTCAAAGAGAGTGGTGAATCTATGGAATTCACATCCACAGAAGGCTGTGGAGGCCAGGTCATTGAGTACATTTAAGACTGAGATGGATAGGTTCTTGATTATTAAGGGGATGCAAGATTACGGGGAGAAAGCGGGAGAATGGGGTTGAGGAACTTATCAGCCATGATAGAATGGTGGAGCAGACTCAATGGGCTGAATGGCCTAATTTCTACTCCTATGTCTTATGGTCTTATGGTTATTTATCAATGAAGTTCTCGCATAAGATAGGGGTCCTGTTGCCACAGAGCCTGTTGAAGGACATCCATAGCTGCCCTTCCTTTGTGGATGACAGCATCCAGTAAACACCTGGCCTGCTCAGCTCGAGTTTCCCCAGCTCGGATTGTCTCATATTCATCTAGGTTGAGGACTTCAGCTTGCCTGAGGATGTCAGCGAGAGGTTCGACAAGGGAAATCCTTTGCACCAGGTCACACCGATGTTTCTCAATGAAATGTCTTGGTGGTCTGACATCTGGAGAGAAAGGGACAAATGTACCATCATGAGCCAAAGGAAAATGAAGGGCATCTCTCTCTCTCTCTCCTTTTCTCTCCAGAAGGTCCTAATGTCTTGCCCATTTTACTTGTAGCTTAAAATTCATGGCTGAATGTCCATTCGTCAGCCTGGTCCCCATGTAGTCAGCAGAGTAACTGCCAAGCATGGGTCTGTTTATCTACTTGAAAATGCCCAGTATTCAGTCAGGACACGTTTAGTTTAAAAGTTAGTTCATTTAGCATTAATGGTGGAAAAGGCTTTGAAAATAACAAGCAGGGAAAATCACAATGAACAGGCACTAGGAGACGTGTGAATTAATTCAGGAGACCCAGTGTTGATTGGTAAAAGACTTGACTAATATTGAATGTTTTAATGAAGTAACCGAGATGATTAATGAAGAGAAAGCAATGTATGTTGTCGATGTAGATTTTTAAGACAGTATTTGACAAAGTATTACAAAAAGGCGAAGGAAGGTAACTGTCACAACAAAAACAAAGTTGCTGGAAAAGCTCAGCAGGTCTAGCAGCATCTGTGAAAGAAAAAACAGAGTTAACGTTTCGGGTCTGGTGACCCTTCCTCAGAACTGATGGTGGCTGGGAAAACATCAGTTTATATGCAGAAAATAGGGAGGTGGGTGGGGTAGGGAGTAAATGATAGGATAGGGCCATAAGAGAGAGAAGGACAGTTGGACAGACAAAGGAGTTGATAACGATCAGGCTGGGAGGGTGAATAGTTGTTTATGGGGACTGTTAGTGACGAACAATAGGTAGTGTGTAATGGCAGGCTATGTTATAACAAGGCCTGGTGTATGGGGTAAGGGGCTGGGACATGGGAGAGTTTAGGCCCTAAAATTATTGAACTCAATATTGAGTCCAGAGGGCTGCAGGGTCCCCAAGCAGAAAACGAGGTGTTGTTCTTCCAGAGATATTAGGAACTGTAGATGCTGGAGAATCTGAGATAACAAGGTGTAGAGCTGGATGAACACAGCAGGCCAAGCAGCATCAGAGGAGCAGGAAGGCTGACGTTTTGGGCCCAGACCCTTCTTCAGAAAATAACAAGGGCTGGTGTGTGGGGTAGGGGGTTGTGACATTTGCGAGTTTAGGCCCTAAAATTATTGAACTCAATATTGAGTCCGGAGGGCTCCAGGGTCCACAGGCGGAAAATGAGGTGTTGTTCCTCTAAAGAAGGGTCTAGGCCTGAAACGTCAGCCTTCCTGCTCCTCTGATGCTGCTTGGCCTGTTGTGTTCATCCAGCTCCACACCTTGTTATCTCTGTTGTTCTTCCAGCTTCTGTTGAGCTTCAGTGGAACATTGCAGTAAGCCAGAGACAGAGATGTTGGCCAGGGAACAGGGTGGTGCGTTAAAGTGGCAGGCAACAGGTAGTTCAGGGCCTTTTCTAGGTCTCCTCTACATTGGGGAAACGAAGCGTAGACTGGGTGACTGCTTCACAGAACATCTACATTCTGCTCGCAAAATAGACCCCGAACTACCTGTTGCCTGCCACTTTAACACCCCACCCTGCTTCCTGGCCAACATCTCTGTCTCTAGCTTGCTGCAGTGTTCCAGCGAAGTTCAACGCAAGCTGGAGGAACAACACCTCATTTTCCGCCTGCAGACCCTGGAGCCCTCCAGACTCAATACTGAGTTCAATAATTTTAGGGCCTAAACTCGCAAATGTCCCAATCCCCTACCCCACACACCAGCCCTTGTTATCACATAGCCTGCCATGACACGCTACCTGTTGTTAGTCACTAACAGTCCCCATTAACAACTATTCACCCTCCCACCTTGACCATTATCAACTCCTTTGTCTGTCCAACTGTTCTCTCTCTTAAGGCTCTATCCTATTGTTTACTCCCTACCTCACCCACCTCCCTATTTTCTGTTTTCCCAGCCACTATCAGTTCTGAGGAAGGGTCACTGGACCCGAAATGTTAACTCTGTTTTTTCCTTCACAGATGCTGCCAGACCTGCTGAGCCTTTCCAGCAACTTTGTTTTTTGTTCCTGATTTACAGCATCCACAGTTCTTTCAGTTTTTATGAAGGTAACTGTCAACCTGATTAAACCAGTGCATTATGGCAATGAATAGTTTATCAGACTGCTGGATGATAGGTCGTGGTGTTCCTCAAGAGTCAGTGCTGGGACCATGGTTTTTTTTTTAGTTTTTATCTCTTAAATGAATGACTTAGGTATTGGAACGCTAAAAGTTCCAACTGCGACACACATAGGTAGGCTAACATCACAGGCAGACAGATGGTAAATGGAGTTTAGTAGAGAGGTATGTGGTGATGCGATTGGCAAAAGTGATAAGGAAAAGCAAAACACACCTCATTCCACAGATCAAAAGTGTCCAGGGAAAGACGGACACATGGGTTCATGTCCTTCAACTTTTGAAGGTGTGGTACTGAGAGAGTGATTAGTGAAAATATGGGTTCTCAGGCTCCAAAAGTATTAGTAAAGATGGGGTGTTGTTGTTGTCCAGTTGGGGCTTGGCGGGGAGGTACTGAGTACAACAGGACCTGATCAGACAGGCAAATGTGCCAAGAAGTGGCAGATGGAGTTTTATGTAGATAAATGTGAGGTGCTGCATTTTGGGAAGACAAATCAGGACAGGATTTGCACACTTAATGTGAAGGTCCCGTGGAGTGTTGCTGAGTGAAGAGACCTTGGGGTGCGAGTCCATAGTTCCTTGAAAATGGAGTCACAGGTAGACAGGGTGGTGGAGAAGGTGTTTGTTATGCTTGCCTGTATTGGTCAGTGCATTGAGGACAGGTAGTTCTGCTATAACATGCGTTTCATTAACGCAAATTAGCTGTAACGTGATTGATGAATAGTGGTCGCTGTTTGGATAACGTGAACTTTCTGCTGTACAGGTATAGCGATTTTCCTATAACGTGATTTTCCATAGCATGCAGTCACACAAGAACGCAACTATCACATTATAGAAGAACTGCATCTGTAGGAGTTGAGAGGTCATGTTGCGGTTGTACAGAACATTGGTTAGGCCACGTTTGGAATACTCCTGCATTCAATTCTGGTCTCCCTGCAATAGGAAAGATGTTGTGAAACTTGAAAGGGTTCAGAAAAGATTCACTAGGATGT